TCGAGCTGTCACCTGTGCATATATAAAGATGATGCTGCAAGCTATTGTCGTAATACAATCATTACACATGATAGACATTGCAAATTATGCAGTTCCATTTACGTTAATGTTTTGTATGTGTAAAATTTTTTAAATTATGTCAGAATTATATAATTTTACACCTTGTTTTCTTGCGCTGAAAACTTTCAGTACAGTGACTATTGTAATGACTAATTTTAATATATAATTTCAAAATCATCCTTGTGTGTTTTGTATAAGTACAATTTTCTAAATTATGTCAGAATTATATAATTGTATACCTTATCTTCTTTCGCTGAAACTTTTCTTTACAGCGTGCTCTATAATGACTAATTTTAATATCTAATATTATAATTACCTTTGTATGTTTTGTATATGTACAATTTTCTAAATTGTGTCAGAATTACCTAATTTTATACCTTGTTTTCTTTCGCTGAAAACTTTATGTACAGTGTGTTCTGTATTAGCTAATCTTAACATATAATTTTAATCATTTTTGTATGTTTTGTTTACAATTTTTTAAATTGTATCTGAATTATCTAATTTTATACCTTGAACTCGTTCGCTGAAAATTTGTATACAGTGTGTTCTACAATAACTAATCTTAATATATAATTTTGATATCATCTTTGTATGTTAGGGTTATCTTTATGTTAGGGTTTGTTTATATACAATTTTCTAAATCGTGCCAGAATCATCTAATTTTAAGCCTTGAACTCTTTCTCTAAACACTTTGTAAAGAATATGTTTCATAATGTCTATAGTTATAGAATATGATTTAATTTTAGAATATTTATAAAAATGGCACCTTTTATAGGTCACCTAATAATATTTTATTTAAAAGAGAGATAAAAAAAAGTTATCGAAATTTTTTATATCATGCTATAACTAGTGATGAATCAAAATCAGTTTAAGTGCCCGATGAACTTTGAATGTAGTACTTCGAAATGCTTCATCTCTGTTTCCTTTGGCATTCAAACAGATTTTGGTGTTTTCGCTCTTAACAAGCGATTTTTTAAATTTTTTAAATGTTTTTGTTTTTCTACTTTCTTGAATTTAAGTTTGCGACCCCCTAACATATACACTTTTTTTTTACATATATTCAAAAAAATATATATATGTTATTGATAGTTATTACTGAACTATGCGCATTACTATCATTCTCACCAAAAAAGATCTTCTGTTGATTGAACATATAATTAAAAAGTAAATTATGAAGTGTGTGTTTTCGTGTTTTGATTTTGCTGTATTTGAATTTAGTGTGTGTAATTTATTTTAATGTATGATTAGATGTTTTATCATGAACAAATGTTTTATATTTAATTATATCATCTTTATGACCGGTAATTTAAATAAAATAAATTGGTAAATAATGAAAATAAACTTTTATTCTCTATGTTTTATAATATCTCTAGGTCATTGTAAATGACTATAAAAATCTCTTAAATAGAAATCAACTGCTAGGTTTGACAGAAGTTATTGAAACAAAAAACTATTTCCCGTGTAGATTTTGTGTTCAAAATTAGCATCAATATTTTGATAATACACTGTCTGTACCATAATAGGTTCAGGTAATGCAAAAAAATGAAACTTTATTAGATAGTTGATTAAATGTAGATATCAAGGCACAGGAAGATAAGTTTTTTGGCGGCCATTGTAGTAAATTTAATGAGACACAGACGGTGCCAAACCTGAAAGACATTGCAACCTCAAAATCGCAGTGCTTTGAAATAAGTTTAATAAAAAAATCAATTGATGATTTCGGGACGTAAATAGCCCAAATTTAGAATACGGCATAAACCATAAAACCAGATTTTAAATTGGTCTCATCTCTATAGAATGCGCTGTACTCTGTGACCCAGGTTAACCTATCATAGCTTAACATTTGGAATTGAGCCCTGCACTAAGCGGTTTGTAAAATGTAGTGGCATTTGTAAAGTGAAGAAAAAATATTCCACTACAAACATATTTACAGAAAACCTTATACTTAGAACAAAATGACCTCTCCTATGTTAGATTTCTAGATGGTCAATAAACATAACGTTTAAAGTTTTAACATTTGTAAGTGGCATTTGTAAAGTGGAAAAAAAATTCACTTCAAACAGATTCACGTAAAACCTTATAACAAAAATGGCACTTTCCTAGTTTAGTTTTCTAGATCAGTGTTCCCCAACCCCCGGCCAGCGGACCGGTACCGTTCCGTAGATTAAATTGTACCGGGCCGCCCATTTCATTGAAACTGAATTTAAATTCCTATGTTTGTTCCTCAAATTAAAAATATCTGGTCAGGAATCGATCTGCAACCCATTGATCAACAAATCTAGCTTCAAGAAGAAGATCAACTGCTGGACATTGCAAATGATGGCGGCCTTAAAACTACGTTCGAGACAACAACTCTGCCGGTGTTCTGAATTAAAGTCATGGCAGAATACCTCGAGATTGCCACCACAGCGCTTAAATCCCTATTGCCATTTCCGACAACCTATCTGTGAAAAGTCCGGTTTTCTGCAGTAACAGCAACCAAAACAAAGCAACGGAATAAACTGGGCATAAGCAACACACTTTGGGTGTCATTGTCTCCGATATTTCTTGACTCTCTTCTGTAGTTCTCAGAACGTTGTTTGAGAATCAAAATTATTTTATTTTAGGTAGAAATTTTAATTTTTCAAGTCATAGAATAGTTTAAATTTGATTTAATAACCCCAGTTTTTTGTTCAATTTTTCATTTGAAAAACATTTAGTCTTCGAGGATGATTTATTTCCTAAAGCTAAAAGTAAATTAAAATAAAGAATCTTTTTTCATTTTAATATTCCTGTTACGTAAATTTTCGTTAAAAGATCAAATTAATAAATTTCAATCCAATTACTAATCTATTAATTCATCTGAGGTGGTGCTGGCATCTCCATCACTTACCCCTCAGGAAATAACGTCAAACTCAAAATACCCACTGGCCAAATTGCTTCTAACTTCACCAGCGAATTAATCGCTATTAAAGAGGCTCTTGCCTATTGTCGCTCCCATTCTCTAAAAGATTCAATAAAGGAAATTGTGATTTTCGCAGACTCAAAATCAGCACTCGAAGCCATACATAACGGTAATACATCAATAACGCAAGAAATTAATACCCTTCTTCATTTATTAAATATCCGTTGCACTCTCCAGTGATCCCAGCTCATGTTGGAATTGAGGGGAACGAATGCGCAGATGCCCTTGCAAAGGAAGCACGCGACGAAGATCAACCTCGAGCTGTCACCTGTGCAGATGCGAATGCTCTCACCAGGCGAAGGATATACAACCAGCTTTTTAGCAAGGCAACAATCCCCGATCTAAACTACCCAAGAAACCTCTCCTCTACAATAGCTAGGTTACGTACTGGACATTTCAAGGGCATGAATATCTCACGCACCCATATAAAATTCTATCCCATCTGCAAGTACTGTCCTCATTTGCAACTAACTCCAGACCATGTTTTTGACTGCCAGGCCATTATCGGCTCCCTCTTTCAACTTGGAGCATCTCCCATCGAAATTCTCCATGGCCATCGGGCTCTAGAATTTGCAAACCTTGTTATCAAGACTTTTGGAGGACTCTAATCTTTGCATTAGCATAGACACGACAACAACAACATTAATTCATCTTAAGTACTTCAGTTTTTTTTTTGTTCATCTTACCTTTTTAAGCTTGCGAATCTACAAATTATAACTTTTTTTTAATATAAATTTTTTAATACAAATATTTTAACACCATCTTCGCAGATAAATTTTTTAATGTTCCATGTTGCTGCCTCCTCTAAGCTATATATACTTAACTAGTTTAAGTACACTAGTTTGATTGACTCCTTAAAATTTTTCTCCTTTAAATCTAAAAACCAATAAGCAGTTATTGGTTATTAGATTTTGTCTAAGTATCTTTGTTTTAAATAGTGTTACTGTACTCTTAAAACCGTGCTGTTAGGATGTTCTTTGATAAAATTGAATTAAAAGTACACTAGTTTGATGGATTCCTTAAAATTTATGAAAAATCTGTTAATCGTCATGAAAGTGAATAGGAAAATCAACATATTTGCAACATTAACAAATAGACGCACCAGTGAATCAATTTGCAATCTTATTTGTAATGTAATGCAATAAATATAGCGGTGTAATTAAAGTTTATAAACCGACTATAACCACAATTTTTTGACACATTATCACAAAAACTAATGACGCATAACCTAAATGATCCATTATTGCTAAAACTAAGCAGAGCATATACAACTGGCAATCTTATTCATATAATCGTCAATGTATGGAATCTGATATTACAGATTGCTTAGTCAGTGCATATATTGCAGTAGCAAAATTTTAGATTAAAATGCTGATATTTTTATTATTAATTATGTTTTGTTAAACATGGATGCATTTTTCTTCCAAAATAAATTCGAGAATGAAATTATTTATTTACCAGTTTATTATTTTTTTTGTAAAAAGATATCGTTTGTACTATCCATATCGCAATTAATCTATACAAAATAAAATATATAATACGATATGAGAGTAAAATAATTAAAAATGTAAAATTAAAAACAAATATATCATATAAATGTTATAAATAAAAAAATTACTATAAATTTTGTTGTTTTAGAACATTTTTCATTTTTCACAAGGAAAAATTATTAAATAAATGTTATAAAAAACCTTTCTATAAACTTGATGATTTGAAGTACCTTTCGTATCGCACTTACCTCATACACAATGACGAAAGTATTGATCAATTGACTGATCAATCTCCGAGATATCGAAATAATTTTTTAATGTATAGTTTCTGCTTCCTTTTTCGTATAAAAAAGAGCTTCATTTTTAATATAAGAAAATAGCAACTTACGTTGCTACTTTTTAAAGCACTTCAAAAAAAGGTCACGTCAGATTGAAAAGAAAATGTCTGGGAAAAATTAATAAGAACAACATTAAAAAGCCAAATTTATATAATAGAGTTGTAAAAATATACGAAAGGTGAATTCGAAAGGCAGATTGATTTTACCAATATTTTAAAGTCAACCCCACAAATTTAACAAAAAACATTTTCCAAACTTTGAATATTCTGAATAAACGGCTGATAATTCGATTTTTTTTAAAAATACAATTTGTATGGAAAGTATTAGTTTATAATCCGTACATAGTTCGAAAACTAATTCTAACATGGTATCTCTTGATGAAAAATATGAATGTGTATTCACAATTTTTTAAGAGAATCCTTTTTGCAAAAGTAGGGAAAAATTTAGAATATTTTAAAAGTATATCAGTCATTGAAATTAACGGTTGAACGGTAAACAGTCATCGAAATTAAACGGTTGATATTAATAATCAGTGGCTATCATTAATAACAATCAAGTAAGCTAATTAAAGTTACCAATTTATTAAAATTAAGATAATATTAATAAGTTAATATTAATAATTTCCAATGAAGTTTCGTCAGATAATTTAATCAAAATGCCTTACAATTTTGATTTTTATTAAATATACATAATTCCTTAATAAAAAAAGATTTATTACGAAATATGACAGTTTTGTGTATTTTTAAACAATATTAATGTTAAATTTTATATTATGTGGAGCTTTGCTATAATATATTTAACTAAAGCAAATACATTGAAATCAATTCATGAACTTTATACAATTCGAATTTTATACAATTCATTAAATCTGTATTTGTTATAGTTTTTACGTAAGCCACTTGCCAATATCAAGGAACCTGCTTGAAGTCAAGCAGATTTTTAAGGCTCATTTACCCACCTTTAATTCATTCGCAGATCATAATTTTGACCTAAACCAGAGAGCGATCAAACTCTAATTCAGTACCCCCAGAGGTATTGATTTGGAGGACTTAGTGACACCAACAGCTGAAGCACAAGTCCCCATTTAATACACGATGATTTTTTGGCCTGCAGGGTTCGAACTCCCCTTTTCACGAACACGAAGTCGTTACCAACCAGGTTATCCCTGCCCAAATCTGTATTTGACGAAAGATATTAAAATTTATGACCTCAACGTATCAGAAAATTATCACTCGCCAAATAGATATGATGATATATAAAAAATAAAATTGAACTTATAAAGCTATTATCTTAAATTAGTTCACAAGTAAAAATCGGCTTTATTTTTTAAACACTAATAATCTGCACAACGACAAATTTATTTTTTACAGCAAAGAGACACATAAATATTACTTTGGAAATGAAATTTCAATAAATTATACCTATTTTATCACACTGACCAAACTTCATGCGCGATTATCAATAATGACCATTAATAATGCAATTATTAATGATAATTATTAATTTAACAAAATTATAGAGAATAAAAAAAACTCGGTCACTATTATTAATTGTCAGGCTTATTAATTATAGCCAAATTAATTTTTTTAACCGTAACATATTTATGAAGTACTTTATCACTACAAAAGTGTCCGTTTAATAAGTGTTGAGTTAAGTCTTTCGCTAGCAATAACAGGAATGAAGGGGGATCCCCGTTTCAGATAACGACGAAAGAGTAAAAACGAAGGAGAAACGAGGATTCTAGTTGGGCGTCGTGACAGATTCAAGTCTTTAATATGATGCGAGCGGATGGCTGGGCACTTCCTTTTCTTTTTTCTCGTGTTATCTACGATGAAATAGTTTCTTCTGTGAAATAAGAATTGCGTATGATGTTTTTTTTAATTTAGTGTGATCTAAATTAAAGGACCTTCACTCTCAGGAACAGAAAGTTAGAGGAAATAACTGAAATCGTAGGTGAGTTTTACGTATTGAAAATTCTAAAGAATAATTAGTTTTAAATGATGGAATAGTATAGTTTTTTTTCCCTTTAATTAAAATCCTTTTGCATAACTTTTGCTTTTACTATATTATTTCCTGCGTTATTTTTTAATTTCTTTATTTTACTTTATATATATATATATATATTTATNATAAAAAGCCAGAAAACAAAATAGAGAAAATAATCGTCTGAGCTGATGACTTGAAAATCTTTTCATTATTTTGTTTTCCAGTTTTTTATGATTTTTTTTAAAATAAAATATTTTTTAAACACATTTTTTTTTAAATAAAAATTTTCTTTAAGTATTTTTTTTACATACTATTTGAAATATTTTTTTAATAAGTTTTCTTTTTCTATTTTCATTGATCTTCATTATATTACTTTCCATGTTCTCTCTCTTTCTATATATATATATGTATATAAAGAAGTTTTTTTTTAATTTAAAAAGAAAATATATAATTTCTTAATAGTAAAAAAGAGCCAAATTACGCTTCTGTTTTCATATAATGTAATCTGGTAAATTTGTTACGAAAACCTTTTCAAATCATTTTTGAAAATTGCCTGTTGTAAGTACATTTGAATTCACTACTCGTTTTATAGATTTCATATCATATTTATTCTGTTTTTTTCTTCATATTTTATTTTCTGTTTTTACGTGATATTTTTACCCCTCCGGTTTCTTGTTATTTTTATTTCTTTTTTTTTCTCCCTCTCTTTTCATTGTTCTGTAATTTTTTTCATGTTTTCTTTACATTTTGAACTTATTTTGTAAGTTCCATTTACTTGCAGATTATGCGCAATACATAAAACTTATTGTTTTTCTTAATTTTCTTCATGTTTCTTGTATTTTAATATATATATATATATATATGGGTGATTCTTTTTAAACATGACAATTCGGACCAAAGAAATTTCTTCAAATTTAACGTCTTCAAAATAATCTAAAAAAATTTTTGTATACTTAATTTAGTTACATTTATTAATATTTTACAGGCAGCAGTGTAGTTTATTGACATTTGCTCGAAAAAAAATAGAAGTTCAACAAATCTTGAATGTCAGGAAAATGACATATTAGCTTAGAAGCTTAAAAAACAGTAATTTTAAGTTAATAGTATGTAACTCAACTTAAGCCTTTATGTTAGATGGACCATAAATTGCTTAAATCAATTCTTTTTATCCGCTGTAGAAAGAATCAAATTTTTTTTTGTTGCTGATATGTACAGAATAAAATTGTGTATAATAATCAATCTTTAAATAAATAAATAACTTTGATTACATCCAACCATATTACAATCATACATAAACTTGGTATTAGGTTAATATTTGCTTTTCCTCCTTACAGTATTAGCAGTTTAAAAAATTTTCTGGTAACACTTCACTGTCCTGGAATTCATAAGCCAAAAAATGACAGCCAGGATAATGACAAATTCGCCATTTTATAGCATACAACTTTACTTTAATTTAATATCTTGACTTAAGACGTTCATATTCTGCAGAAAACAACAGGATTTCTTAAAATAACTCAGATAAATCTATGTAGTTTATGTCATTATTGATTTCAAGAAGCCAGGAAAATGACAACACAAAAACCTACTCATCTTGAAAAATTTTTTGAAATAGATTTTGAACCAGAAAATTGGTTCTTTATTCATGCAACAAGACATGTTCATATAGGAGGGTATCTAATCAATCTATTAACATAAGATATTGATTGCTGGCTCTATCTATTTTGGTTATAAACCACTAAATA